TCTTCCATCCCTTGGTCGTTAGCCCATGGCCCTCCCAGGGGGGGGGGGGGGTATTTTGGTTTGGCTAGATATACACTTGTGGATGGCTGCTCGCGAGTACGTGTGTTGCTGCGGGTGTGGTTTTTGTCTGGAGGCTGGGGGGTGTGCCGCCGAGAGCTATCCAATTTTTGATGACGTAATATCGGGGGAGCGCAGAAGAGCATGAATGGCCCGGTTTACTATTCTGCCGTATGGTGATGTTTTGTGCACGCCCCGAGCGGCATGTGTGTGTGTGCGTGTGTAAATTTTTTCTTTTTCCCACAAGAGATCATAGTTGTGCCGCACGCCGAGAGCACGCAAACGGCTGGCCCAGCAGCCAACCAAAAGGGCGTGCATACCCACGAGTGAGAAAGGTCGTTTTTGTGACGAACTGTGCTTTGTTTGCTGTTGTTTTTATCGGAACGCGCAACACAAGAAATAATTGGCTGGGCCTCCTGCCCGTATCGAGCAAAGTCTCGCAAGGCCGCTCTGTCGTATGTACGGCGCGGGTCATTGTTGTGCACTCTAGGTGATTCTCACCCTCATTCTCTTGGGTTTTATCCTACGGGTGTTTTGTTTTATGTCTCTCCGTCGTTAATACTGATCGTGTAAACGCAGCAGGCGTAGTTTTGTTTTTTCATCTGTAAATGCTCAAGGCTGCAGCATATAACCCATTTTGGTTGCTTCAGGGATTCTGGGATTTTTTGCGGTGTCCCGAACAAAGTGTAAATAAATATATACCCTGTACTTGCTGTGCGCTGTTGAGGGAAATGTTCGGTCCCCTGTGCTTTTCTCCCACACGCCGCGTTTTTTCTCGTGGAAACGAAGCATTTTTGCTGGAAAGCTGCCGCCGGGGTTAGCGACCTTTGCGCAACCGCGCGGCACACGAAATTTCAGCGGTCTGTCTGCCTACCCCGCACGCCTGTCGGGTTCAGCTTGCCTTTGCTCTGTTCCCTCAACGACTCCGTGGTTGGAAAGAAGCCAAGACGACCTTGGGGACCCCCCCCCCCCCCTGTCTTAGCGCTTTGCGAGCTTGGTGGTAGGCGAAAGCCCGACGGTAGCCGTCTTTCCCGACTGTGCATGTGTTGTAGGGTGTTTTGGTCGGTCTGGGTGTTGACGCCGGCGGAAGGGAGGGGTGGTATTGTAGTCGTTGTCACCGAGCCCCTCACGCCCTTGGTTGGGCCTTCTTTTTGCCCGTGGTATTTTATTGGTCTACAGTGGTATTTTTCCTGAGGCCGAATTTCGCTGTTCTTGTTTCTTCTCGGTGCTGTCGGCCACGCGCTCGCCACGCAATTCATTACTTCATTGTGCCGGAGAGCGCGACGGCGGCTACTGCTGTCGCTAATTATTGTTCGCCGTGGCCCCTTGTCACAGGAATTTTGTTGGTCGCTCTCCGACTATTACTAGAGGCGCACCGGCCTGGCTTTCTGCTGCATGCTTTGGCCGCTGGTGCTCAGCGCATTGTTCTGTCGTTCTCCGGTCTCTTCGCCAGAATTGCATGATTTTCTTGGCGCGGCCTAGTGTTACGCTTGCTCTATTGAAGCAAATACTGCACGTGGTAGTGTTTTTTTTTTTTTTTTGCCCCGTGTATTCTGGGAGCCAGTCAGTGTATTCCATTCGGGATACATACGTGTCACGCACCAGCGGGGATCTAACAGGCCGATTTTCGGCGGCGTTGAAAAAAAAAAACGTGAACCATCAGAATCTTGACACGTCAACGCCGATGGCACCAAAATCGTTTTTGGGGGAAACCCGATGCTGCGAGGGAGGCCGCGAGGAAGCTGCCCCCCGGCCGGTAGCCCCTGCCTTGTACGGTCAGAACCCTACTGCGAATCCCCCCTCTACCCGTTGTATCACTGATGCTTGAGATGACGTCCGGTTTCCCCGTGGCGGGGGAGGGGCGCCCAAGCCGCTAGCAAAAAAATCAAATCACCTTACGGAAGATACACAGACTTGCTTGCGTAATATCTCGAGAAAAAAACAATGGTTCCCGAGGCCCTCAACTCTACAGGAAAACCACGAGCAGGCATCGATCGTCGGAACCCCTCTCGCCGCTTGCCCATACATGCGGCATCGCTTTGAGGGTCACCTGTCACGCTAAGTACGCTCAATTCTGGTACTGGTACGTTCATCACCTGTCGTGACTGTGGAGGTAGACAACGCCCGATCTCACAGAGTACGACCTACAGAAAAAGGGCTATGGCTCCGTACACAACCCGAGATATCAGAAACTAATAACTTACGGTTAGACGTGATGACAAATGATAGCCTGCTGGCCTTGCGTGTAGCTCCTTGGCTTGCTTGCGCCTTACGGAAGCCAAGTAAATGCAAGTATTTTCAAGAGTCCTACGGTAAAACCTCTTTACCAGGTTACGTTCGGCAAAGGCGACTGTTTGCTGAGCCTCAGGGTCAAGAGTAGTCTACAGCAGGTAGTAGGTGCGGTGAGTCAGTCGATACCGCGGAAGGAAAGTGATGTGGTTCCCTTCTGTGTGCCCCCCCGGTCCGTAGACCTCTTGGGTGTACTACAGTAGCTCTGTGGGTCTACGCCGTAGACCCGCAGAGCTACTGTATAGTACACCCGAGAGGTAGGCATAGGTGTAGACCACACACGCAGGATTCGAGAACAGACGGGATGATGATGAAAAGGTTTTGTAGTACACGACGTTCTCAAGTGTTCTTCGTCCGTGCTCATTCTTCGAACCCTCCACCCCTTCCGTTCCTCATCGTCATGGGATAGAATATGACCTGTACGGCCACGTTCTGTCTCGTCCGTGGATTAATTAAGGCTATCTATGCATAGATGATGCGTGTGCATCATCGTGCATGCGTGTGTGCCGGCAAAAACTTTCCAAAAAAATGGCCGAATTTCGCCAATTTCCCTCTTACACCGCACACCTCCGTTGACCACAGCCAGCCATCCTCAACTTGAACCTCCTCTACATCTGCTCCATGAATGCCCCCCCCTCTCACGAAAAGAGATGAATGAATTGATTGGTGGGGGGTGGGGTGGGGGTGCACAAAAAAATCGACAAATGGTCGAGGTCCAGCAGCTAGTTCTCTTTTCCAAGGGAGGCGAAGAAGCCCCCAACACGCTCCGAACCAAGAATGAATAATGTGTGTATCTATCTACTGTCTATATGAAAAAGAAGTAGGCACCAACAGCAGTTAGGGCCCACTGTTAACCGTATGTATGTAGTAGTGCAGACGAAATCTTTCGACGGCATCTTCTTCTCTTAAAAAAATGTTTCTCTTTCTCTCTATCTCCTTCGCTCTCCTTCACACACACACCCCGTTCGTTCGTCCATCTAGTCCCAAAGCCGACGATCATCATCCGTAACCACCATGCACACGGCTACGTCCACCACGCGGAAATGGCTGTCCTGTGCCCTCTGTCGACGAGAAGAAAAACAAGTACTCAGGACTCAAAACGTCGACCGGCCTAGGCAAGAAAACTCCAAACAAAAATACTAACAGCAACAACGGCAACGATGACGGCATTCTCCCTCAAAAGGTTCCGTGTGAGTGGGCTTCGGCTTCCCTCCCCCCCCTCGCCGTCGTCGGCACCCTCCCTACCTATTGGTTGGTTTAGAATATGCGAAATATGCACTAATCATGCCACAAACTATCATTATCACCCCGACCCTCAGTCATAAATGCCCCCCTTCCCATCTGCAACCCCCCGCCTCAATGAAACAGTACTCGAACACCCAAAAAATTACTTCTGCTTGCCTTCTCTTTCTCGGCAGATCAATCCGATACCAATTGACCACACGTGCGACAAAATGCCCAAACCGACAAGAAGACACAGTGTTAAACACCAACTCACACCAAACAAACGCAAAACTATTTAGTTGCCACAGTACGCACGCACGAACCCGCTTCTTCTTCACACGCAAGCAAAAAGAACAAGAAGAATGATCATCACCATCACATCCACAAATAACAAAGAACGCGCAATACCCCCCCTACCCCCCCCACCCCCCCCACCCGCCCACCCCCGTAAAAGTAACAAGCGACCGCTACAGAAATACCGCGTTTCTCGCATGCCGCGAGTAATATGTGCACACGCGCCCTGCATTTTATTTGTGTTTTGATGGAAGAAAGAAGGTCGCACCCTACCTTTATGAGGGGGGGTTGCGCAAGCGTACCTACCATCACGGGGCCGGTGAGGGCTTCCGGTCTATCAACAAGGGCAAGCAAGCTTGCAGGGCCTAACTAAAGCATAGAGCCCATGATGGCGCTGCCACCCAGCTTCTCTACTTCTCATACCCCAGCTACAAAGCTCCCTCGACATCGTAACTACGTTCACGGCTGGCTGAGCCCAGCCCGTTCACCCCCCGACAGCTCTCTCTCTCTCTCTCTCTTGGCGAGGTCGAGCGACTGAACAAACACGTACCACAATGCAACACAAAGGGAGGGAGGAGTCCTCATAAAAATAGCAAGAGAAATTACGGCAGCCAGCCACACTTGGTTCTCCTCTTCTTCATACTTGTGCCACACCCATCTATCAATCCCTATATAGTTTCTCCGTTTTTGTATACCCTTTACCGGTCTGTGCCAGACCCCCCCCTCCCCCCCACCCCTTTT